CCCAGAAATGTTTCTGCGTTTCAATGAAACATTCTGAATGGATTCATTCAACTTGTTAGTAACACTACTTATAAATTTTGACTAATTACTTCAAAAAATATCTTATATGCCTTCCCAACACTCAGCAATTCACTTCCCAAGTCAGCAATTGCTTATCATTTTTATTTTAAAATGTTTTTCAATTATAGTACCTAACAGGTAACAATTGATAAAACGGTTAAGGCTTTCGCGGCGGAGGTTTTCAGTGTCACTATTTTTCGGGTTCGAAGGCCGTGGATTTTTGGATCCAATCTAGCCACTCGGTCCAGCTTAACGTCAGGAAGAAATTCCAAAAATCCACGGACTTCAAACCAGAAAAATAGTGACACTGAGGTAACAGTTGTAGGAAAACCTCAAAAGGCCATTTTTTAAATTTCTGACTGTACACTTGAAATAATGTGAATTGTGAATGAGGTCACTAAGAAGTGACATCATAATGAGATAATTTAACATTCTGGGGTATATGTTGATCATTGCAGATAGTTGAATATGACATCCGTTTCTAAGGAAATACGCTTCCCATGCCTCGAGAATCAGACCCTAAGACACATATGAGTATATTCCTCGGTGTCCAAGTGACAGCAAGTCCAAAAAAATATTGAAAAAAAGAAACATCATCACAGGATAGGCAACATCAGGCACAAGCATTGTTTCTGTTGGAGGATGCAGAGACTGGGACACTGGACTTTTTTTTAGGATGGTTCAATGTTCAATCTCTAGTCTAATCTGCAATTGGTTCGGGGGGTATACACACGAAATAGTAAAGCTGTACCTGAGGTAACGAGAAATCCAAGACCGTTCAATGACGCCACGGACTTCTTTAGGCAAATTCTTGAATCGAACATAAAATTTCGGATTTACAACTAATAGATTGTTTATTTATGGAGATCGCTAATTAATCATCTTACATTTTGCATAATTAGTTCCTTAGAGCTTTTATCATTTGTATTTCATGGACTACGTGCAGAATTGAAACAAGGTATGCCATGGATATAAAAATCACCACTACCCCACTGTTGGATTTCAATTAGTGAAATTTACAACAAAGTGCAAAATGGAAGTATGATAAATTAAACAGGTAATTTTCACCAATTAAATGGTATATTGAAATGCAAATTGTCCGCTATTACGATCACGTGCAAAATGTTAATACAGAAATATGTGAGAAATACTGAATTTTCAGTTCCCTAAAAGTAATGCGTTATAGAAAAAACACCCTCTGCACATCATATGAATAATTAGTTGTTGCCCGCGGCTCCGCCCGCGTAGAATTTTGTTTGTCACATTAAGTTTCGTGACTAACCATTTTGAACAAATAGTTACCTAACCCAAAACTTCAAGTATCCAACTTCAAAACTGATGAAATTCAGTACAATCTTTTGACCCCTATTTTACCCCTTGGGGGTGGAAATTCCTGATTCCCTTTATTGATGCTTATATACGCTATACAAAGAACCTATCTTATATTTTAAGATTCTAGGTTCACTAGCTTCGGCTGTACGTTAACATAAGAGTGTCAGTCGATCAACAGGTACCCACTCTTACAATATTGAATAGCATCAGGAATAAAAACTGAACGGATTAGAATGAAATACATTGGTAATTCTACCAATCCTACTCCTACTAATATTATAACTACGTAAAGTTTGTGAGGATGGATGAGTGTAATATATGTATTTACGTTTTTTACTTTTTCACGCTTAACGCATAAAAATATAAGTTGGTATATAGATAGATCATGACCTGGAATAACACATAGTGTTGTTTACCACGGTAATGCGGGTAAAACAGCGGTGAAAAGCTAGTATTGAGTAGATACCTATTAATTGACTGACAAACTTATATTAAAACGTACAGCCAAAGCTACTGAATCTAAAATCTTGAAATATGCAGGTAGGTTCTTTGTGGAGCGTAAATGAACATCAAGGAAGGATATCGTGAATTTTCACCCAAGGGGAAAAAATAGGGGTTCAAAGATTGTATTGAATTTCGTCACTTTTGAAGTTGGAAACTGAAGTTTTGGATTGATAGAATAATATTGTAACTATTTGTTCAAAATAGTCTGTCACGAAACTTGATGTGCAAACCAAATTCTACGCAGGTGAAGCCCAGGGCAACGGCTAGTAATTTATATTTTCACTTTAAAAATACAGTAAATAAAAAATAGGCCAACTGCACTAAGTAATGAATAGGTTCGAGAATCGAATTAAGTTACCTATAAAGAAATTTCGCAAAACGAATACAACCGTCAACGACGTCTGCCCTCACGCATCTGCTCGCGTTCTCGGCGATGGCGCCTCATTGCTTACACCATCGTTCAACCCTCGCGCATCATCCCCCGTCATCTTACAGTAATCGCGACGCGTAATGGCTTACTGCGTTTATCCAATCGCAATAACTTTTGAATGATTCGTCCGAATTACTTAGAGTAAAAGACAAAGTTTATCTATATTAAATACTCAAAACGACAATTGTATAAATTTTATAAGAATTCGACAGTTATTCTGAAATGTGCATTGTAAAAAAGTGTCCAATTCAATAGTATTTACGGCTCAGTATTTCGCATACAGTGGCTACCACATAAGAGGTAGATATATGTTATCGCTGACTTTCATTTAGAACTATTCAAAATAAACTTACGGTACATTATCTTCATGTAACTCCAACGGTATAGGCAGCGCAAGCCGAAATAGCTCTCAGAAATCAAGAATTTTGTCGACTTACTTATATTTTTCGTTACTACCAAAATTACACAATACCTTTATAAATTGTAGCCTATTTATGTTATTCTGATGTATAGGTGAGCTGTATTTATGTGAAGTTTCATGTAAATTCGTTCAGTCGTTTAGTCATGAAAGAGCCACATACATACATACATTTATCAATCCTCACAATCTTAAGAGGCCTATGGAGTGGCAGCGCCATATTGAAAATCGCGAAAACACTTTGTGAAGAAATGAGATGTTACATAAAAAATATGTATGAGGGAAAGTTATCAATAATGTAACGAAGAATGTCGTTAACTCATTTTTTTCCATTTATTTTCCCAAACATGTTTTTAACTTTTTATTCCTTTGACGAATTCCAAAATTTTTGAGATAGCGAAATTGTACGATTAAATATAGTCAACTTCTTCACAAAATAAAATATGAAATAATGTTTGACTAATCTATAAAACGTGTTTTCCATATTCAATGAATTTTCACTCATCAAGTGCTGCCATCTAATAAAAACTAAACCCATATTAAAGCAGAGAAGGGTTTGGCAACATCGCTGTTAGCGAAACGCCCGTCGAGTGCAAATAATATCAGTTTGATGTTAGGGTAATTGGTCTCTACCAGTGACGGCTCGTGCATTGTGTATGTGTATATAGTCATAAAGACTATATACACACAGAAAAGCCCGCCGGAGGCGCGAAAGTTTTTTGGGGTACCACACCTATTTAAAGCAAAATACGTAATATTTGCATAAATGCAAACAAAAATTGTGTATTGCCGAAAATTATACGTATAAAACTGACCATTAAAAAAACAAAACAAGGAAAAAGGGTTGTCTTTGAATTATTTAATATAAATGAACTCTTCTTAGTCAATAAATAATACTTTTCTCTTCT